CTTTCTTTCTTTCTTTCTTTCTTTCTTTCTTTCTTTCTTTCTTTCTTTCTTTCTTTCTTTCTTTTCTTTCTTTCTTTCTTATAGTAGGGATTGAACCCAGGTTCCTCTCATTGAGCTGCACTCCCAGCCTTTCAAAAATTTTTCAAAATTTTGAAACAGAGTCTCAATAAGTTGCCCAAGCTGGGTTTGAACTTTAGATCCTCCTGTCTCAGTATTCCAAAGTACTGGGATTAGAGGTATATGCCTACAGGCTGGGCTGGGATACAGGTGGCACCACAAAGCTGTGGAAAGAACATCTTTTTAAATAGATGATGTTAGGAAAACCAGCTTGATATAGAGAGAAAAGCAGTGCTGGACCCAGTACTGTTAAAAAGAAAAGGTGGACTGTAGATAAATTAGAAACTTAAAAGAATAAGGTAAAAGTTAGACGTGGAGATGCACACCTGTAATCCTACTAATTCTGAGAGGTTGAGAGGAGAATCACAAGTTTGAACCCAGCCTGGGCAACTTCATGAGAGCCAGTCTCAAAATAAAAAACAAAATGGCTAGGGATGTAGCTCAGTGAGAAGGTTCTAGCTTCAATCTCCAATACCCCCCCCAAAAAGTGAAACAGGAAAAACTATGAAGATAATTGAATACAATGTAAGGAAAATAACTTTGAGATCTTAGGACAGAAAAGATTTGTTAAATATGATCCCCTAAAGTGCTAACCATAAAATTAAAAATTGATGGACTTGATTACATTAATATTAAATATTTTTATTCCCCAATTACATTAGTAAAGAACAAACCAGTATTTATCGAACACTTGCTATGCACCAGGCATTATTTTAAGTACTAAAATATTAATTCAGAGCTGGGCATGGAGGTGAGTGCCTGCAATCCCAGCACTCAGAAGGCTGAGGCAGGAGAATTGCTGTGAGTCCAAGACCAGCCTGGGCTACATAGTGAGTTCCACGGCAGTCTGAACTACATAGTGAGGCCCTGTCTCAAAAAAAAAAAAAATTAATTCAGTTTTTTACATATGAAGCTAACTATATAAAGCTAAGTACACAGTGTAATTGAAAAATATGGGGTGAATTTTAAATTTAAAATTTTATTACAGGGCAAGGGATTTATTTCAATGGTGCTGCTGCCTGCCTCGCAAGTGCAAGGTCCTGAGTTTGATCCCCGGTACCAAAAAAAAAAAAAAAAAAGAAAGAAAATCATTACAGTGAAAGATGCATTGCCATTAATCCCCCTCAAAATACTCTCCCTTGCTTGATCCCATTATTCTAATTTATCCCATTATTCTTGCCACTTTCTAAATCACTTGCTAGAAGTGCTTTTTTGTGAGTATTTTTAGTTGCACTGTTCTGGCTGCTTCAATTTCCTAAGTTGATTCAAAACACCTACCTTTCACAGTCATTTTGATTTTGTGAAAGAGGCAGAAGTCACATGGTGCCAGATCTGGTGAATAAAGTCATTAAGGACACACCATATTCCTACAATCTTGCCTTTCCATTGGATGCCACTTGACAGCTGTATTCATTGTGTTTTTGATTATATCTTGTAAAAACACTCATGGAAAAGGATTTCCAGAACTGCTTCAGAAAGTCGCAAGAAAAATGGGATAGGTGCATTAGAAGAGAGGAGGATTAATGGCAATGTGTTTTTCACTCTTCTTTTGTTTTTGTTTTTTGTACAGGGATCAAATTTAGGACCTTATGCTTGTGAGGCAGGCATGGTGGCACTGAGGTAAATCTCTGGCCCCATGAATCTTTTACTGTAATAATTATTTAAAATGTAAACATTCACTGAATAGTCTCAACATATTATTATAATTCCCTTTACAAATGAAGAAATGGAGGCACAGAGAGTTTAAGTGATTTGCCTAAAGTCACATAGCTAGTCAGTGCCAGAGTAAGCATTTGACCAGGGTGTCCTGTCCGGCCCTAAATTCTGTGTCCTTACTTCTATGCTACACGAATCAGACACAATGGAGAGATGGCAGACTTGGAGAAGGTAATTATGACCTATAGAGCTGATAAGAGATGAATATTTGATATATGTTAACCTCTGTAAGTCAATAAGAAATAAGGTTCCAATAGAAAAATGGCATAAAAATATGGGAAAATGGCTAATGTGTATGAGAAATAAACTCATAGGAATCAAATAAATGTAAGTTATCACAGTGAGATTGTACTTTCTACCTTTAGAATGAAAAAATTATTTTTCAGTGCTGGGGCTTGAACACTGGAACCTCACATTGAGCTACTTTCCCAAAACTTTATTTTGAGACCGTCACTAAGTTGTCCAGGCTGAATTTAAACTTGTGATCCTCTTGCTCTGCCCCCCAGAGTATGGGAATAAAGACTTTTTTAAATGGATGAAGTAATCTGATCAACCACAGAAATCAAGCATGTAGCTGACATAGGGTAGAAATAGAACTCACTTAAGTTTTGAGTCTGAGGGAATCAAGGTTCAAGAAGGAGAAGGAAAACAAGAAAGCCCTCAAGGTCCACTCTAGTTAAAATATTTAATGGATGAAGTTTATGTATGACATTCTTTGACATTCCTGTCTTATGCCTCATGCCTTTTCTTTCTACATTAAATGAGGAATGTTTTCTTTTCTTTTTCTTTTTTTGGTACCGGTAATTGAACTTGTGTCCGTGCGCTTGCGAGGCAGGCAGCAGAACCACTGAGCTAAATCCCTGGCCCTAGGAGTGTTTTCTTTAATAAAGTGTAATGCTCATTTTTTGAATGGCCACAGAATTTCCATACAGTGGATGAGCAGTCATTGATTGGATAATTATTTCTCTGTTGCTGACCATCAGTTCTGCTGCTGCCAACTGCTTTCTGTTTTAGGTTATTGTTTTCCCCTATTTCCCTTTTTCTTGGCCCCTGATGTAATCTCATTGCTCTGAGCATTTCTCTTCCTAAATTCCCTTCAAGAGCTCCATTTTCAAAATTTGACTTCTTCCCCCCTTAGCCCAAGTTCTTTTTATTCATTATGGATGATTTATTTCCACAAGAGAAATGTTGGAAGCTTTTAACTGATCTCAATCATGTGTCAATGACTTTAGACTTTTAAATGGCTCAGAGTTTATTTTCAATGTTTAGAGAAGTTTGTTAATATTAAAGAACCTTTGTAAGGGGAAAAAATGAGAATCAAGACCTGTCATGTAGAGGTACAAGATCCCAACAATGAATGTAACTGTACTGTATCCCTAAAATGTACAAATAAACTCAATTAAAGCTGAAAAAAAATATTAAAGAACCTTTGACTTGCATTGAGACAGGAGAGCAAAACAAAAGGAATGTTTCCATTAAAGGTAGGAAGTATTGGAGTAGGGCTAGTTTAGCTTGGGAATCTTTCCTCCAATCAAGTCCCCTAAGCTATCCCTGAGTTTCACAGTTGATTTTATTCCTTCACTCCTAAGCTTAGAGACCCTGTAGGTAACCACCAGCATTTATTTGTCTTTCCTCTTTAGTACCCTGTGGTTTCCATAGCAGTAGTTGCTATGGAGAGGTGGAAAGAGATGTCAGCCATGTTTTATAACTATGGATTATCAATTGACTGGAGATGGCCTCAAAAAAAGATTA